TAATATGAAGTTAGTTCCCTTGCAAAAAATTGCAAGTTCAATTTCATGAAAAATCGACAGCTTTCCATTTCAATAACGAGCATGGCATTGCTCAACAACATTTTCGTCTCTGAGAAACTGATAATATTGATGTCTTTTTATACCGGTCCAAATTCTGTAAAGATCGCATGTATAATAGCTGAGATATAGAGGGTGGGCGTCTGAATTGAGACACGCTGTAGATTCGTTAATGTTGAATATTTTTTTATGAATCTTGGTGGTACATCAATAATGATCAATGATGATCACTGGTGTTGCCGGGGTAGCAACCAAGTGGGATTTTCCCCCCTCACACAAGACTTCCATAGGGGCATAGCTGCCGGTCACCTGTCTTTCGACTTATACCGACAGCACCTCAAGGAGAAATGGAGGATTTGGATACACCAAATCAGCGCGCTAGAGCCATCTCCGTTATGCAACGGCATGTTCTCCTGCTACCATTTTATTATACCAATGGTGAGGCCGTCTGATAAGACAGACTACTGGCTCTGCGGTGTCAGTGCCCGAGCAGAAACGCTACTCACCCGCCAAGGCAGGCGAGATATCCTCCCACTTGACCCATAATGGGATTCTTCTTTACCTCCTCTACCGTAGTCCGGTGGTATTTTTTAGAAACCGCTGCCCCCTGGAGTCCAACCCACTTGGTGAGGCACCAGGCCGTATGTACGGCATGATGGGGCTATCCTGATCACCCCAGGTACCCGCATGTCAACAAGATTCCTCTTGTTACGTTTGATGGGTCGCCGTCGCAAAAGGCTTTCGCCTGATTGCTACTCATGTTGACAAGAATCCTCTCGTCTCGTTGAATGAGTGATCGTTCGAGGACTTTTACACGTTCCTCTACCTCGTTAACAAGAGAGGACCCGGCTCCACCTATGATGTCTGGCGATAGGATCGCTTGGGGCTGCCCTCTCCCTGTCGAACTGAGGCACAAGGTACACCAAAGTTCCAGTTTTCGCTGAGCAAGCCCAGCTACCCATGTCGACCAGAATCCTCTGGTCCCGTTTGATGGGTCTCCGTTCGCGGCCTTTCACACGTACCGCTACCATGACAAGAGTGAGGACCTCAAGCTTTCAACCAGTGGTGTCTGGAGTCACCTGAGGCTACCCCCACCCCGACGCCGTGAGTACATGGTTGGCCTACGGCCAGAACCACGGCCAACTTGGTGGTACAGCTTTATATCAGAGGACGCCGATTCTCGTAGTGTACGTGGATTTTTTTTTGCATAAAAAATCGCTAATATGGATTCTGGATTTTTCTGCCTCTGAATGTGAACTAGTAGGCCTTGTTGTTTCAAAAAAAAAAGGATGCCGCTTAACTCCGAAATACACATTTTTTCTTCTACATCTCAAAAACAATTGTGGAAAACGATCCAATCAAGAAAAATTATGAGGGTTGCCCCCTATCAAATTGGTCACTCTGTATATAAAAGTCATGTCAGAATATGTACTATTTGGATCGCCGATGGATGTTCCTATATAAATGTTAAAATTAGATTTCATCAGGGACATGCTGAGGATGTCCTTGCATCGACATTCTACAAAAGGTACCACGTGGGACGTTCTAAAGGATGCTATTTCTAGGACATTTGAAATGATTTAGCAGCTGGAACATTCCATGGACGTCCTAACTTGGATTCTGCATGAGATGTATGGTATGGGACGTTTCAAGGACAATGACTTCAGGTTTAGGACTTGAATCGAACCAAATAGGAACATTCTCAGGACGATGCGTGTTATTATCTATAAGCAGCTCCCCAATCTCCTTTCCACAATTTTGGTTAGGTTCAGCAAGAATTTTCACGTTTCCAATAATGTTATTCTTGAAGAATATAATAGATATTCCATTTTGAGATATTAGCATCGATGATTGAAAGTGGAAAAAATCCATTTGAAGAATATGTTTTTGTAGCAGCTAAGTTATACAGGGTATGTCACGACGAGCTTACACTATCTTTATATCGAGAATCAATCGTGAGGAATCCATGAAAATGTGCATGCTCATATCTCAGAATACGCTCTTTTCATTTAGAATATTTTTGACGATGCAGTGTTTCCGCTTCTACTAGAAAGTAGTAGCAACATTGATATTTCAAATAGAACACCCTGTATTTCATCGCATTTCCAGATTTTCTCTGAAGAGCTGATTTCATCGATGTATCACACTTTGGGTCTATCGAAAAAGATAACAGAGATATAGGGTGTTCAAAATCGAGATTTTTCAACTTGAGGATTATTTTCTGTCGAAACTATTCATTATTGGTCGGAACGGCTCACATGTCCCTATCCCAACTTTTAATTCACTATTCATTCATATTTAATCGGAATAGATACCGGGTGGTTCAAGATTCAGAACTCTGATTACCCTGTATCTGATGTTCGGATTAAATATATGTAAATAGTGAATCAAAAGTTGAGATAGAAACATGTGAACCGTTTTGGCCGATAATGAATAGCTTCGACACAAACAAATCCTAAAGTTGAAAAATCCCGATTATGAACACCCTATATCTCTGTAATCATTTCCGATGGACCCTAAGTGTGATATATTGTTGAAATCAGCTCTTCAGGGAGATTACAAAAATGTAATGAAATACAGAGTAGTCTACTTGAAATAACAAAGTTGTTACTACTTTTTGACAGAGGCGGTAACACTGCATTGCTGAAATTATTTTAAATGAAGAGAACGTATTGTAAAATATAAGCATGCATATTTTCATGTGTTTCTCCCGACTGATTCTCGATATAGAGATAGTGTAAGCTCGTCGTGACATACCCTGTATAATATCCTGCTCGTTTTCGATTAGAAGAAAACCATTGTTGAAATATTTAACAGAGAACATACACTTTTCTTGCTGATACAACAGAATAGGTATTGAATTATATCTGTTATATGTATATCAGAAAATGATATGATGAATTAGATATTTATACACCAAAGTAGTAAAGAATATCAGTATTACCCAGGGACCAAGATTTTATCCCGAGGTTTTCTTCCAAAGGATATAAGGTCCCGTGGTAATAATATTTCTTACTACCAAAGTGTATGTTGAAATTCTTTCACAACTAGCAATATATTTCCATCATCATCCAGGTAGCACAGGTTAGTGAAATGACGTCATAATCACGTATTTTTTTGGTCATTATTGGTCAATGACGTCCTCGACTTCAGAGGGACCAAAAAATGACGTCATATTCCATGACGTCTTATTGACGTTCAATATTAGACGTCTTAATGACGTCCCTACAAAGTCGTATATTCGACCAAATAAGAAAAATCAGTCGCTTTCTTACCTTTCCATCATTTGTTAATTGTTAATATACAGTGTTTTCGTAAGTACTGATGAACAAATTTATTTTTAGCCAAATTATGCATTTTTGAGGAATCTGCTGAAAACGGTCGATTTTAATTTTCATATTTCATTTCATTTGCCATATTTATGAGAAAAATAGAATATACATACATGGTGATCCACGTTTGAGTTATGACCATCACGACAATGTTTTTAAATAGAGCACCCTATATATATTACTCAATCATTGGAATAACCATGGGAAGCCGAATCCGAAAATGTTTGACACAATCATGTGGATTATATAGGTAAGTGCGTCCAATAAATTAGATGCTCTCGTGAAGTAGTGGATAAATTAATTTATTATCCAATATCTATCTACCTTATATATTTCTGAGGAAACAGGAGAGGCTTTTATTTCTAATTTGACACATTTATAACGGGAAATCATCAAATATACAGGATGATGCACGTTGGTATCATGACGTACATAAAATAGGATTGCCATTAAAAAATAAAGATGACGTAATTTCTCCTACACGAATCATTCTGATATTGATTCAATATAAGATAAAGCTTGGATGAAAATAAAATTCTATGGCTTCAAACGTTATTCTCTCAAAAAAAAAAAAATTTTCAGTTCTCAATTTCACAAAAGAACTTTATTCAACAAACGCACTGTATACAAACTCATATATTTTTGAATCCAGCTTTCCATAGAGACTCCAAGAATCGAATAATTCTTATAGGGTGTTCCTTTGAAAAAATGGTCGCGGACGTTGTAACTCAAACTTGAATCACCCTGTATGTTCAATTTTTTCTCAATAATGTTGGTAATTTGAAATGAAAATAGACCTATTTTGGGAGATTCCTCAGAAAGGAATTGTATGGTTATAAGCACATTGATTGGCTACTTTATTTACTTCACGCGAGATCACTCAATTTAACGGACACACTGTATACAAAGTCAATGTGTAATATATTTTCAAATTCAGAATTCCATGAATTTTTAAAGAATTGAATGTATCTTATATAGGTTATTATTGTTTCTAATTGAAAAAATTGTCGCGGACGTCTTTACTTAAACGTGGATCACCCGGGAAAAACAAGTATCACCCTGTGAGGAGGGTTCACGAGCTGCTGCTGGCTAATATATTATGTCCTTATACATATCAGATATTCGTAGACGACTAACGATTATGATGTACCAAATGTTCATAAGTGAGTGAGATGACTCATTGTAGTGAACGAGTATGACGAAGATGGTAAATGATGAAGAAGCGAAAGAACTTAAATGATACATTTGTATAACTGTGTTATGACATTTTTCAGGATTCAAATGATTATCTTCTAAATTCCATCTTTCAACTATAATCTTGTTTCATCTGAAATCTATAAGGTGACCTCTTCAAAACAGAAAGAGTGATATGATAAGGTGACCTGTTTCACGTTGAAACCGTTGACTTTTAACGTTATAGGATATGTTTCTGGATAGATGCCTGTGTACTAATAATGAGTTGTCATTGGCTCGTGATTGGTCAGATCATGTGAGAAACTTGAGATGAGCGAAAAAGTCCAACAAAAATGTTACTCTATATATGTGGCAACATTTTACTGTCAACTCCCTGATGACAATAGTTTCGCATCGTCGAAATGAAACGCGAATCACTAGATATTATATAAAAAATAAATACTTGTATAATTTTCAATTATTCGGAGTTGAACAAGTAATATAAAAGATATCAAAATACATAGATGGAGAATTAGCCAACCTATCTCAAAACAAATCCTCTGGGTATATTCATTGAAGATATCCATAATTTAATATCAAATTACTTCACTCTTTCTGGCCACGAATTTCCATTTGTATTTTCTCCAGAGTCTTATTCTTTGTTTCTGGCATGAACATTGCACTAAAACCCATCCCCAGCATACTGCAAATAGCGAATATATAAAAAGGGACGAACATACCAAATGTATCCTTGGACCAAATGAAAAATTTTATGACAACGGTCGATATCAAACTATAACAGATATTTATCACGCAAAATGCGACGCCTTTTATATTGGGAGTGAAAATCTCACTGGCAATGAGGGTAGGTACAGTGTTGAGTCCTATACTGAAGGTTAATATGTATATCAAAATGGCAACCAACTGCAGAAAGTCAAAACTGGTAGTATCTATAGTAGTCCAGTTCTTAATATACAGATAAGTGCCATTTAGTAGTAACATAGCGATAACTAAACCAGTCGATGACAGCAGCAAAAGTCTTCTGCCGAATATATCCACCAAGAACTGAGATAACACGGTGGCAAAGAAGTATACTATAAAATAAATTAAATTTGAAATTGTAGGGTTCAAAAAACTGCTACTTTCAATGAAAACTGTTTCACAGTATGACTGAATTGCCATAATTCCACTCAAGTGTTGGAATATTATCAAACCCATGGCTAAAAGCAAACTCTTTCGGTGAAACTTATTTCTGACTAGATCGATAAAACGACCTTCATCACTGTTTTGCATTAAACTTTTTGTTATTCTATCAATTTCTTCAACCACATCACTCTTTCCTCTATATTTTCGAAGGCTAGCTTCAGCTGCGAGAGTATCCTGCTTCATCAGGAGGAAGTATGGACTGTCTGGCAGCCAAGGAATTATCAAAAGTATGGGAAGACTGAGGACTGAGGCAATCGCAGCGGTGGTCACATCAGAAACACATAGAAACAGAACATTGATCAGGAGCATTCCAATTACTAATGCTAGAAGATAGGTGATACCCATAAATCCTCTTATGTCTGGGTCTGAAATTTCCGATAAAAATGGAGGTATAACCGTAAATAGGATTCCATCCATAATACCAGCGATGATCCTTCCAATGAAGAAATATACTTTGTTATTGGCAAGGGCTATGAGTAGCCAAGAAAGTGTGAGTGGTAAGGAGATGAGGATGATGAACTTCTTGTAACCGACGGAATTTAAAGTGAGTGCTACTAGAATAGTTCCTACGATGGCTCCCAAAGGAGTTACAGATGCTAGCCAAGATCCTTCGTCACTTGTAATTTGGATTGTTGAGTTGACTGATTGCAATCTGGGAATCGAAGTTGAGGACCAGCCGTAGTGCATTCCGAGAGAGACCATTCCCATATTAGCTGAAAAAAGAAGTGAAATCATCAGCTGTGAAGTGAAAAAGGAAATAAATACATTGTTTTTTGACGTACAGTTCAGAGTGTGCCTATTAAAAGCCTATACCAAAAACTAACACATGATATTCAGACTCGAACAATTCGATCCGAGCAAAGTTATCTCATGATTCAGTGGCTCAGTTTGGACGCTACATGGCTGTGATTTACTCAGCACAGAAAAACAACAACAAAAAGAAAACAGATTCCATTAGCGTGAGAGTTAACTATGCTAACATACGAAATTTTGGTAAACTTCCATGAGAATTTCCATATTTATTAGACAATGAACAACTTAGAAATTGTAAATGCAGAGTCGTCTAGCGCACAAACTGAGTAATTTTGTTGTTATAGTTTTATTGGATGGTACCTATATTGTACAAAAAACTAATCTCCTCTGAGATTTCCCGAATACTTCGCACCCTACAATAAACTTCGCACTATAGAAGTCGCAGCTAACAATCCATTTCCTTTCTATTTTTACTTTTCTATTGGCAGACTACTTCATTGATGATTCACTCGAAAGTGCGAACAAGAGTGTGTATACACAGTGATAAACCGAAGTTACCTAATTTGAAGACTCAAGTAATTCTTTCTCTCTGATAGAGCCCATAGGAAACACACCCCTTGTAGAAGTGAATGGATTAATTCATGTATAAACAACTTATCTTGTCAGCTTCTAGAATACATGTGAAGAATTCTAGTATCCTGTGATAAAACTGAATCAATTTTACGAAAACTTACCTCCAAAGGCTGCCAAGTATTGGAAAATCCGGGATTTGAACATCGAGAGATCAACAATGCTCTTCATCTTTATCATCACAGTAACATATATCTATACTTATCGTTGAGAACTATCTGAATGAATCGCAGAGTTAGGAAAACACTACAAGAAATAAACATAATCATTATGTCTGAATACAGTGAACTCTGAATAGGTCGCAGCATATAAATAATCATCTCTCTCATGTTCAAGTTCGAAACTGATGTATCAAGAATTAGGTAGATGAGTAGTTACTTTCTCAGTGTGTTCTTCTCTCTACACTGTTCACAGTCTAGTTGATTATATTTCAAGTCAACTACCTCTAACTATAGGAGCCTGCATAAGATGCATGAGAAATTGAATGCCAGTATGTTATCCATCATATGCAACTATTTTCATCTCTGAAGTTTTATAGAATTCCGCATATTTGTCTCAAGGCTTCACCATGTGATGATGGGGTTTTTCCACAAATCTTATTAATGGGTTTTTCTGTATGAATAAGCACATATGATATTCGTATACTTCTCTACTATCAGCCGAGTATGATATACCTACCTCACTATAATTGGAAATAGATATTCAAACTTGTTCATCTACGATCGAAAACTTGAATTTGTATACCTAGATGAATTCGATATTTTTATGTTTTCATCACATTTACCATTTTCTATATTCGCTTCATTCGCATATGAGAATGAGTGATAGCCGAGAACACAATGGATTCACAAGTATACGCCAACCCCTGTAACGCTTGCTTGTTTAAAATTTCTAATGCATTGTAGAATCAAAGAACATGAACTCTTTTTCGCTTGAGTAATTAGCGTTTTTGATAATAGGTGAAATATTGTAAGATGTTCGTATCGTAGATTCTTGTCACGATAATCGACTTGTTACCAAATTCCCCATCTCATATCGTGATATGAATCTTCACGATATTTTTATCTGAAACATCTAGTATCGACTCACTCAATCGTAAGTCGGTGTTTGCTGCCAAAAATTACATCCCGTGGAAGGTAAAATGATTCCATACACTTCCCCATATTCCAATCTCACTTAATCGGAATTTTCGAAAGCAAATCACACAATAGACAAAATCATCATGACAGAAGTGTCAAATTTATTTTCATTCGATTTCAAATACTGGTTTCAAATAAATGAGGCATATTGAATTGAATCGAGTGACAGCCAGAAATACGCGAGGGACCAATTTTTTTTTCGTCTCCTAAATAGAATCATCACTCAAATAACTTCCGATTTTATGTTTCTCAAGAATTTTTTGGTCGATTTTTAGGTGCTAGAGTCATCAATAATGCCACGGTTTCAAACAGCTAGAAATTCACCGCCAGTAAAAACTGCCCCAGGATTTCGTAGGTAGGGCAGACCAAGCACAGCTGCCATGTGTCGAAATACGATCGGACTTATTACTCGAAATAAATGATTTGTGTAAATACCAATTATATCAATTCACACTAGACGATATTTGAATCGGTGAACGTGACAACCCCGCGCACGACTTGTGGGCGTGATCTTGTCAGTTCTCAGCATTCAGCATAACGTTGATGCCTAGTCTACACCATTCACATGATATTTTGTTATGGAGAATAAGAAATATTTGGACATGCTGGTTGCTCGAAAAAGTCAAGAATGAACTATAGGAGTTCCTCCTATTATGTTTTATTTAACGACACAGGACTCAAGCAACTTTCTGATAACTTGATTATAATTGGTGACTTGACAACCTTGCCTCATGAATGGAAATGAGGGATTATCTGACCAATAACAAGCAGCATAAAAATTAACGTCACCATTCATTCGACATATTGCCAAATGGCGGCCATGACGTTACGTTTGAAATGAGCTCTGAAATTCAACGACTTTGAATAACGCATAGACTTTTTAATCACAAAAAAAGCGTGAGAAGTGTTGCAGAAATCAATTTAGGTTCCTAACGACACAGTGGAGAACTTGAATGCCTACAATTCATCTTCTGTCCAGTCGCCCATTAAGCACCCTAATAACACAATTATGTCTCATGGATATCCTTAGGACATCTTGTCGGGACCTTCGGGACGTCCATAGGACGTATTCGGTACCATGGACGTCCATTATTCTTGAATTTGAATTTTTCTGGGTCCCTCTAGGACCAGATCTTGCATAAATGATGAGGACATCCAGTTGAGTTGATGGTCCGTAGAATTTTCCCAATATAGATCCTGAAAAAGTTTCCCAAGAATGTCTGCACAGACCCTTCAATATTTCTAGGATCGTATAACAATCGAAATGTCCCTTAGGAACATCCTTCAAATGTCCCTTAGGGATATCCGTCGGATGTCCCAATTGGTACATGAAGTGTACTCTTCCAATGTCCTAGAAATAACGTCTTATGGACGTCCCAGTCGGTACTTTCAATATGTTGTCCCTGCGAAGACGTTGACTTACACCTCGTCGACGAATGATTGCCCGTAGGCTATGAGTACTCCTCGTCGATGTCCTTCACGTAAGTCCATTGGACATCCTTGGGAAACTTTTCAGGGACCTTCTACGGACCATCAACTCAACCAGATGTCCTAATCAGTTATGCAAGATCTGGTCCTAGAGGGACCCAGGAAAATTCAAATTCAAGAATGATTCGTACGTCCCTGGGACATCCTATGGACATCTTATTAATATCCCTCAGCGTTGCTGATAGGTTATCCTATAGATGTCCTAAGGACGTCCTGTAGGATTTAGGTATTCGATAGTTGTCCCAGGGATATCCCTCAAGGACGTCCCTAGTTGGTCCTCAATTGGGACATATGTGCGTCCCACAGACGTCCAATGGACGTCCACGGTACCAAATTCGAACGTCCTATGGATATCCATGGGACATGAGTGTGTTATTAGGGATTGTTATACGATCCTGGAAATAAAGAAAGCGTCTGTGCAGAGATATTTGAAGGAATGTACCATCAGGGACATGCCAAGGACGTCCTTGCCTGGACATTCTACAATATGTATCACGTGGGACTTCTGAGGAATGCTATTTCTAGGATATTTGAAATGATGTACCTGCTGGGACATTCCGTGGACGTCCTTGCTCGGACATTGCATGAGATGTACGGGATGGGACATCCCATGGACACTTATTTTTGGCCCGGGACATTCGGACTTGAATTGTACCAAATAGGGTTGTCCCTAGGACGTTTTGTGCTATTAGGGCATGACGCTTTGATACATATGCGTTCGTGGATAATAGATAGATGTACACCAAGGAATATAATTTTTACCCAGGGATCAGGATTGTATCCCGATGTGAGGTATTTTACATTTTTTTACTACTAGCACAATATTTTAATCTTTATAGTTCTCTTAAACCGAAATATGGAACTATGAAAGCACATGATTTCAATTCTAATTGAAATCTAGTAGCCATCACTATGACAGCGTATGGAAAGTCGTTATTGATAAATACCTACTGAATTAGAGTGCCATTTCTGTAAATGTCGCATCAGAACAGTTAATTCGTATAACAGAAGTGGCTATGTCTCTATTATTGACTATTGATTCATAAAATTACGAAATCTATCTTGGTAGTAAAAACACACTTTATGCCTCGAAGTACCGGAGCCAATAATGGTAGATTCTACAGCTAGTCAAGAAAAAATGAAATATATAAATAATGGGAGCAAATGTTCATTCCTTCCTATGTGTGTTTACAATTCACACGTGAAAGGAAATGGATACCTTTACTCCCTTGATATATACCTATATACAGGGTGTTTCATAATTGAATGCTGATCCTCAAGGGCGATAATCCTTTGATGATTTCGAAGAGAAAAGTTCATATCAACATATGTCCTAAACCTCTTAGTTATTGAGCTACAGGGTGATGAAATTTCGAGAAAAAATGAGCTCTTCATCATAATTTTTTATCACTCATAGATATTGTTATGATATTTCGGATGCACCTTTTCATTATTAAGGAGCATTTTTTACGTGGAAGATAATTAAAAATTCTTACCAGTGGCGTCCGTACGGGGTTTGAACTGACATTTTTTGAAGAAAAAAATAGTACGCCACTGATTTTTCTGAGAACCAGATTTGTTTTTTCAATACTTATTCATTTTGGAGCAAATTTGGTCCCTAGACTCACTTTCATACAACGTACCGTTTTCACGTAGGAAAATAAAAATCAAAAAATTTTGTTCCCTCAGTTCTTGGATATTGTTTTTGGTAATTCAGTAGACACCCACTATAAGTGGAAACACATTTTGTTTTGGGACGAAAATCAAACTTGTACTTTTACCAGTGATATCCTCGTAGACCTGATGTTGAATGTTTTGTTTAAAAAAAAGCTGAACGCTCCTGATTTCAACACCCTGTAGCTCAAAAACCAAGAGGTTCAGGACATATGTTGATATAAACTTTTCTCCTTGAAATCATCCAAGGATCATCGCCCTTTAGGATCAGCATTCAATTATGAAACACCCTGTATATGGCTTTAAGTACATTCGAAGGTAGGTACAGTTGAGTACTCACCTATAATTATCTCACTTTCAGTGCAATTCAAGGAAACTCACAATATTTTGATATTCGTATTCTGGATGAACATATCACTGAGGAAAAATAGACTAGTTGAAATTTTTAAAGAGAGGTCAAGAAACTGCTCGTTAACTTACAATTACATATGTCACGATGCACGACAAACATAATATTATGAATCAGCTCGTGCGACTGTCCAATCTGGCCAGATATGAATAAACGAGTTTTTACAACCAGAAGCGATCATCTTGGTCGCATATCGATAGCATATTTATTCGCTTTCACAGGCATTATCGAGTACTTACCTATGCAAGTTCATTTCTTCATTCACAACCATAATGTAATGTTGTCATTACTAACGTAATTGAAAGATGGAAAGTGTCACATAACATACCTCTACTTCCCGCCCTCACTTCTCATCCCCACACGAGACAGAGATTTATTAATAATTGCGATCGAAATATGATGGCTGTGAATAAAATAGTTTACAAACCTCGGTAGGAAGATTCATTCCTGTCTAGAGATTATAGCTAACCTCGACGCTTTACGTTTCGGTTAAGTAACTAATCTCACGACAGGAATGAATCAATTCCCACCTCGGTGTGTAATATACTATTGCATCCATCATACATACACACATATTTGGTAATGGACCATATGGAACTAATTTCCAGTTGTTGTATAGGGTGAACACAATATTAATTCTTGTATCTAGAGCGCGAAATGCTACTTTGGTGATCGAGATCTGATTTTTTTAACGAGGCGTGGCCGAGTTGGAAAAATGCTGTCGCGCTCGAGTTGCAAACAACATTTTTTCTACAAAAACGTAAAAAGAAGTTCTAAAGTAAAAATATGCTTACTTTGATATAAAAAATTGTGTTCAACTACCTTAAAACGCCTCCCCCTATCCTCCCTATAGGTGCGCACGATGTTCCACGAACATAAATGGAATTTCCTGCGCTCCAAGAGATGAGACAAAGTTATTGTTGAACATTCAGAAATGAATGATTTCGTGGATGTTTGCTCGATTGAGGACCATAAAGTTGAAATTTGAATATCTCATATATTTTACATATAACAATGCGCGAAGTATGTACTTGGCGCACTGTTTTACTTCGCGCATCGTTTTGTGCAAGGTATCATGGTAAAGTAGGAAACTGAAAAAAAGTTACACTTCGCAATTTGTTTTCAATTGTGAATAGAATCGGATCATAATTACAAAGCTCATCCAACATATTGAATCCGCAATCTTGAATTTTCCAATTCTGACGGGAGAATCGTAATCTCCGACCCCAAAAACCCTCAGATACAAATTTTGAATAGAATCGGGACATAATAACAAAATTCGTTCACCATATTGACACCAATTTCAGCAAAAGAATCATAATTTCTAACCCCGAGAATACCCAGATACCAATTCTAAATGAAATCGAATCATAATTGCTAAGCTCATTCGCCATATCAGATCTGCCATCTCGAATTTCCTAATTTTGACGAAAGAATCTTTCGAAAATTTTCAGATACCAATTTTTAATAGGATCGGAACATGAAAAATTTACTTGTTCGCCAAATTGGATCTGCCATCTTGAATTCCCAAAATTTGACGGAAGAATCATTATCTCCGACCACGAAAACCCTTAGATACAAATTTTTAATAGAATCGGATCATAATTACAGAACTCGCTCGCCATATTAGATCCGCCATCTTGAACATCTATTCTTTTTTCATACGAACCTTCTCCTGACCATTGTCGATCTAAATGCAAAAACCTAGTAGGCGACCTAGTACGCGAGGAGGATAGCTTTTGCCTAGTAACTACCTAACTTGGTTGTCATCTAGAACGACAATGTCCTGACAATAACAAACACAACAAAAAATTAAAGAATGAAATCGGTCCAGGCGGATATCACACGTGATGGCGTGACAAAGGTAAATAGGGATTAATTTTTATGCAACGTGCATGTCCCGAAATGAGCCTACCATGCTTCATCAGCAGATTTTTCGACCAAAGAGAGAAAAAAAGGATTAAATAAGCATAAATCGAGAAACGGCTTCTAAGGAACCTATGACCTCTTTTAAGGGGGCTGCTGAAGATGATGTTTCCTAAATATTTCCGAAAAGCCATGTGATGAAATGATGCAATCTTAAAGACCAAGACCTGAACTTTCTATGCCCAAGGCAGTGAAAATGGTATCATTCCAGAATCCCATTCAGGAGTGTTGAATGCAGGGTGGGGCCCGATTAAATATTGCTCAAACTTTGTACGCATAATTTTCGACAATGTATTCTCGGTTTCTGAATATTCACACCGTTTTACAGGAAGGAAGTGCTTCTCTTCTGTGTCGATCAGATGTATCATTTCCGAGTGGAATCGATTTAGAAATATCGTTACACCCACATCTCATGCATAACGTTGCCAATTTTCGAATCATATACCCGAAATTAGCAAATTCTTCGATCAAAAATAAAGAGAACAGAGTCTATAAACTGAGGCCAAAAAATGCATCATTAGGACGCTACAGCCCCTGAGTCCCTGAAGATGGTTTCCATTCAATATCATACTCTAACTGGTGATAAACAAGTTCATGACCTACCTATCAGAAAACCACAACTTGAGCAAAATGAAGATCTCACGGTATTCGAAATATGGAAACTTTTATTCAAAACACATTGAATTTCTATTTCCATGTTCCAAGCTAGTAAGGCGAGCACTTTATGTTAATTTTTATTTTTGATAAATAATACTGAATAGTTGTTGTAGCACTTACAACAATCGCAGAAGGCAGATTTTTGATATCAGTCAATTACGGTCTACAATAAAATAGTTGAATCAGATGATATAATTTTTTCAGGCCGTAAATGAAGGCTATCGAGAGTTTTATATCTGCGATTTTCAAAACTACTTTCTTGAAATATTTATCGAGATTGAAATAACATGATACGCTCTTCATTCCCTCGGAACATGAAAAAAGGAATTAGATTTTTTTATATAAAAATTTCGAACATTTTGAGTACCGTGAGGTTGTTATCAAGGTCAAGTTGTACTTTTCTGATAGGTTAGGGACTTGTCAATCTCCAGCTAGAGTATGATCCATGCATGCGATGGTTTACTGCATACCCTGTACATACAGGGTATATGTTACGACGAGCTTACACTATCTCTATATCGAGAATCAGTTGAAAGGAACCTATGAAAATATGCATGTACATATTTCAGAATACGCTCTCTTCATTTAAAGCAATGCAGTGTTGCCACTTCTCTAAAAAAGTAGCAACAACTTTGTTATTTCAAATAGAATACCCTGTATTTATTGCATCTTCAGATCCTTCCTAAAGAGCTGATTTCATCGATACATCACACTTGTGGTCTATCGAAAATGATTACAGAGATATATAGAGTGTTCAAAATCGAGATTTTTCAACTTTAGGATTCGTTTGCGTTGAAACTATTCATTATCGGCCTAAACGGCTCACATGCCCCTTCCTCAACTTCTGTTTCACTATTTACTGATATTCAATCGGAACAGATACAGGATGATCAGAATTCTGAATCTTCAACCACCCTCTGTATCTGTTCCGATTAAATATCAGTAAATAGTGCATTAAAAGTCGAGATGAGGACATGTGAGCCGTTTCGACCGATAGTGAATAGTTTCGACTCAAAAAAATCATGAAGTTGAAAAGCCCAATTTTGAACACACTACATGTCGGAAATCTTCTTGGATAGACCCCAAGTATGATATTTCGATGGAATCAGCTCTCCAGGGAGAATCTGAGGATGCGATGTAATACAGGGTATTTACTCTGAAACATTAATGTTGCTACTACTTTCTAGTAGAGGAGGCAACACTGCATTGTCGAAAATATTTTGAATGGGGAGAGTGTATCCTGAAATATAAGCATGCACATTTTCATGGATTTCTCTTGACTGATTCTCGATATAAATATAGTGTGAGCTCGTCGTGACATACCCTGTACCTATATGAATATAAGAATAATTCTGAAATATTGGGATAAAATTATAGTTCTGTTCACATTAATTTCAGCTGAAATCCTTCAACTTCTTTTGAGAACCTGTTCCCTATATGGGTAAAAGCTTTTCGGGGAAGACGCGGACGATTTGATGTCATTATGCTGAGACGAAATTTATCGGGAAAGCCTTTATTCTCCACACTAACAATACTGAAGTTTTTGTTTTTACTAGAATTCCCAATCATTTTTCATAAACGATCGTTATTTTAATCTCGTCGTAGATGATATTATTATAAATTTGAATAAAAATGTATGGAAAAATAAATTGCTTTAATAACTTTTCTCTCGAACTATATTCATTTATTTCTTTATAAAACTTATTTGATTTGGATTCTGACAGAAGATGAATATTGATCGAATTATTTGATATGATGCAATATTCTTCAATTCATCCGAATGGAACATTGAAGAATGTTTCTACTTGCTATGATTTTGCCGTAAGTATTATTGGTATTTACAATTCCATATAATAAAACCTGCGAGTTCACCATTAGCTCTTGATATAATTTTGGTCAAAATTGCAGAGAGTTCTCAAGTGACACCTATAATTCTTAGCAAGTTTATTGTATTTTTTCAAATCCGCATGATATTGTTCAATAGTTTCAAAATAATCATCTAAAGTAAACTCATTGGAACTTAGGTGTGAGCTGACAAACAGTTTTTTGACAACTTTCAATATGTAAGTTCCCAATGTGAATTCCATAATAGGAAGATGCCATCTCTGAGTTAACTTGTTGCCAATTGAGTCGCAGAAATGTATCTTGATGAAAATTTGCAGTATATTGGAATTGTTTAATGTGTTTTGGCATGAGCTTCATTGCTAATATATTTGTTTCATTCTCGATAAATTCAACGAGGAAATATATAATTCAAATCTAGTAGCCACGACCGTGACAGCATATGACAAGTCGTTATTGATAAACTCATTGATAAATACCTACCAGAATCGAGTGCCAAATTCCTGTAAGAACACAATTCACATATTTTTTTTGTAATTGAAATCATCAATTCCTAAAAGACTATGGGCAAGTTTTCAGAAATAAACAATGCAAGGAGCATCTCATGTAACAATTAAAGGAACAACATTTCCAGGGTATTTTGACCCCGCTGAATACGAATATGCCTGTTGCCAAACCAAAATTTGGACTGGAAGTCCGGT